TTGACGTCGCGCGGTTTTACGCGCGAACAGAATGCTCGCTGTCAAAATAAAAGCGGATTCACGTCCAGCCCTTAAGGTCTTTCTGAGGTCTTCACGCGTAGCGCCCACGTAATTATAGCTCATATTATTCTCGAAGCGAAGAGGCAAACGGAGAGTAGAGTAAATATATTTTTCCATTGCGTCCTTTCTTTCCTTCAAATTATGTGAACTGATGTGAGGAGTATTATGGATTTAGGATTATAATGTATAATATTTTCTCAAATGATCTTGGAATAACAGGGAAAATAAATGCTAACATTATTCGAAAATTGAAGATTTAATTGTTATTCGAGTGTAATAATTATTCACAGAGAAATTAACTAGTCCAATGATTGATATATTGAATAATTTACTGGCACATTCGTTCTTATTTTTATACAATTTTTATATATTAATTATTTATATAGCTTTTTGTCGATGTATTTCTTGCAAAAACTTTCCTTTCCTTATTTATAATGTCATGTACGTATGTACTGCGAATAAGCATTATGTACTCGAGATGTTAAATACGTAAGAGTATCGACAGCCCATCAGCAGATTTAAACCTGTCGTGATTGCGCCGTTTCAAACGGTTGATGGGTATTATCGGTTGATATTTCCGCGCGTTACGTCGTCGGCTCAATAAAAGCGCGAGCGAACGGTCGCAATCCATGAATGAGTTTCCGTGATGGTGGGGAACTTTGGCAAGTGGTTTAAGTACCAGCAGCAGCAGCAGCAGCAGCAGCAACGTGCAGCGGTGGAAACGATTCCCGGTATCTTTCGTCTTCTGTCCACTCGACGTTGGCCTTCTCATCGAGCTCTCGATTTCTTGGCTCGCGTGCAATTTCAATTATTCGCCGAGCAACGTGAGAACGTGATTCGACGGCTCGATCTACCTGATGACGTCTGCAGAAGGTCGAGGCGATCGTGACGGATTCTCTCGTAGGAAATGAAATTACGGACAACGATGTGAGCGGTCAGCCTCGTTTTCCATGTGGATGACGATCGCAATTTTGTTAGCGTCAGCTACTGCGATATAATTATAAATAACTCATCCTGAAATATAACCTTATTTTATTGAGTCATCAATTTTGTAAAAGCTTAATTTCTCTTTCGCAGAAATAAATTAGGCTTTTACAAAATTGATGACTCAATGAAATAAAGTTATAGGTATTTTCAGGATGAGATACTTTATAATTTTTCAGGATAGATTATTTGTAATTATACTTAATAGTATTCATATTAATTAGTAAACTGTTTAATTACATCAATATTAATATTCATATTATTAATAAGTAAACCGTTTAATTACATCGATTCATTTAATGTTTGTCGAATATGATAGGAATTTCTGAAAGATATAAATCGACAATAACGTGTATGATAATTTGAAAATTATTTTTTTTTTTTTTTTGATTCGTGATACTTTTGTGAATTACGATCGAATCTTTCTTCTTTTCCCACAAAATCACATTACTTTCGTTTGACGAAATACGATTCAAATGCTGACTTAGCCTGATCGAATTTCTCCTCGGAATTTTCCTTTGCTCGTTTTAATAGAATTCGTGGGGGACAATCTCATTTATTCATCGAGTACACGGAAACTTTCCTCCATCTCTTTTCGCGCGCTAAAAATTCAAGGGAGCGATTCGCGGTACCGATGATTCACGACCGTCTAATTTTCCCGTGGCCGCGTTTACCCAACCGGCGGGAATTATTACTCGCGAATAATGGCGGTGGTGGCTGTGTGCCGCTCTGTCGGCGTTTAAAACGGAGTTAAATATTTAAATCGGCGAAGACAGGCACACGCGCCCACGTTTAACGCCTACCTCAAGCGTGAATCGCCAGGCGGAATGTATCCTCGCTGCTGCAGCTGTCTCTCGTTCACGATCGCACGATATACGATCATTCGATCGAACAATCGCGTGACGCTGTCCGAGATCCAAAAATTGTTCGTTTATATTCGCGAAACGATCTCCAAGCGCGCGGAACATGCCATGTGTTTGCGGGTTGAAGCGTCGAGAATAATTTAAGGTCGCCTCTACAAACCTTAGATAAAATTAACTGAGCTTTACCGGATTCTCTCTATCATTTTCCAATTTCGAAAAGAAAGAGATTTCCAATTATCCGAAAATCTTGGAATTGTGAAGAGAGAGATGTAAATTATTGTCTTTACTGATAAATAAAGGAACTATGATACAGTTTTTTTTATTATAATAAAATAATTTTATTTAAAACATGCGGTGTAATATAGAAAAATGTTACAAAAAAAAAACTTAAAGTTATAGGTATTTTTTAAATCTTATTACCTATTGCCAATCTGCATTTAGTTTTGTTTTGAAGGATACATATGGAGAAAGTTACGTCTGCCTAGCTGATCTCTTCACTTAACTAAATTTTAATGAATAAATTGTATAATAATGCACTATTTATGCGCTCTCAAAATCCGCATTTTTTTTAGCTAAACAAAATGAACGCAAAAATTTTTTTGCGAATTTTGAGAGCGCATAAATAGCGCATTATTATATAATTTATTCATTAAGATTTGGTTGATTCCGTAATATTTTTAACATTTTACGTATTCGAGTTTCCCGTCCATTCATTATGCAATATGACATAGGGATCACCGGGTCATACAGGGCGACGATAAAGACACTCGTTCATTGAATTTATTTACAAAATAAGTAACAAGCATAATAAATTAATATGACTTTGTAATCTCTCGTACATTTTCCGGTGTTTGGTAATAACGTAATAAGATTGTGCATATTATCGTTTGGTATCTATAAATTTTGCCGGATAAATATTTACAGCAATTTATTTATGGATTTAGAGAGTATTAAGAATTGTGTGTGCGTGTGATACCAATAAACGTGTATATGTTATTTCTAGTTTATTCTTTCCTTATGCAAAGTTGTTTTATTTGCTATTTTAAAGAAAAAATTATCATTTCTAAAATAATTTTCATATACGAATATTTTGTAAGAAGCATTAAAATTAAATAAATAAATGAAGCAGAGAGAGAAAAGATAAAAAATTCGCATATTTAGCTTTCAGTTAAAAAGCAAATTTTAATATATTATTATTATCATTATCATTATTACATATTATTTAACAATTTAAATAATTAATCACTATTTACACTCTAAATTTTTTAAAATGAAATCTTATTCAAAACAAGTAAAAATTCATTATAATTAATAATAAAAATAATGCATTTTTGAAATGAAATGACATTTCATTTTTTAAGGATGAATGTTTAACTCTAATTGTATAAAATGAATGTTCCATTTGTTTGGAGTGAAACATTAGTTAAAATAATTTTGGTGAAAGAAGTTTTAATTTAAAAAAATTATTTAAACTCAATATACATACACGTAGATTTTTGTCAGCATTTATCCATGGAAAAAGCGTTGTCGATATTTCTATATTACATTGATTCTATAAAACAACATGGACGTGACAATGAGATGATCAAGCGACTCGCTTATTACCAATCTTCTTGCTTGGCACATGTATACTGTTTCCAATTGTATATTATATTTATGTTGAACGTATGGGATTTATCTTTAATTAAAAATATATATTTTATGACATAGATTGGAAGAATTCACTTTATATGAATGAAAAAAATCACCCCAACTTGAAATAATTTAATAATCTTTCCATTTTTCAAATGGGATTTTATTCTGAAAAATTAGAGAGTGCTTAAAAGATATACTGATATAAAATATTATATTATCATGTATTAACAAGTATTTATTTCTTGATTACTCCAAATTTATTTTTTTTTCCTGTGACTAGAGAACGTATTGCTGTAGCAAAAATTGTAATAGCGAGTAATACTTTTTGATGTAGAAAAACGAAGATTCTAAAGAAGCCTTCGTTTTTCAATAAAATTCTTTACAGTGCCCGCGCAATCATTGTCTAATTAAGTTTCCTTTTCTCACTTTTTGTAACAATTACAGTAATATATCAGTTAGTTGAGATCTATTAACAGAGAAGAGAAGGAAGAAATAGATGCGATCGCAGTACATGGACACACACACACACACACGCACACATACACACACACACACACATTTTTTCGATTCGATAAAGCAGAGCTTTGATGCTTTGGCCAACAGCCAAAGTGTGGGCGTTTACGAGAAGTAACGAAAAGGTGCGAGTTACGTCGTTCCGAATTGGCAGCTCCTTCCATTAATCGATCACGAGGAAGGATTTCTCGAGAAGCTTCCCCTTCTCTTCGCCCGCGTAATACACGATCGATCGTCTTTACTTAGAGATCGAAGGCATTTTGCCATAATATCCTCCGAGATAACACGATTAGTCACTAGATAGATTTAAGGAACAACTGCATATAAGGATCTGGCAATATTTTATACGCCGCTTTGATTTATGATGTCGGATCTAAAGAGATAGCTGAAGGATTTCTTACAAACGTGAATAATCGAGTTTATTTTTTAGTTCCTGTACGTTTTTGTTTCTTAATTTTTGTACTTTTAGAAATAGGGTTTACATACATAAAATAAAAATATACTAAAAGAAAGTGTACTAAATTTTAATAAATTTTTGTTTGAACGGATTAAATATTTACTAAATGGAAACAAATATTTATTTAGTACAAGTATCATTAATTTGATTTAATTATCACTTTTTTTATTTAGTTAAATATTTATTTACAATAAATAAATGTTAAGTTAATAATATTCAAACAAATATTAAAATTTAGTATATTTTTTTTTAGTGTAGGCATTTCTCTTGGGGAAAAAAATATTTATTAGTTATTTTTATAAATAGAAATTCTATATATATATATATATAGGATCATCTAAAAACCGCGGATACTTTTTAGATGACCCAATATATATAAATATGTAAACACATTTGTTCGTACGACTGTTGTTAATTCTATAAATTATAAAAACATCTACAATCTGAATGTCAATGTTAATCTGGAATTTCTTTCTTTTTCATTTCAGGTAAGTGCATCACATTTTCCGGCCTGTTTCACCATCGTGCGTATATGTGAGCGGCATATGTTGTGTATGCGTTCGACGGGCGCGATACCAGGTTATGTATGCATAATAATCGCGTTTACCGGCTCTCGTCTGGCTGCTCATAGATATACCATTTTAATCTTCTTGCCTTCTATTCTTTTTATCTCTCTTCCTCCTTCTCTCTCTTTTCTTTGTTTCTTTCATCATTTTTTAGTTTCCTATGGAATTATCGACTTGCATTTTTTATAACTAAATACCGCACGTGAGCGGATATGAGGCAACATTCATTTTTTTATCACGATATCTGCGATTGATTTTTTTACGTATTTGCACTCCGATTTCTCAATAATTAATAACGCATGTTAATATTTTTTTCAATATGCAAAAATCCGAGAGAAAAACATTTTAAAGAAGCGATATATTATTTTTATTTGTTTAACCAGATGATTCACAACGATCATTTCAAATTTTATATTACATGTATACGTTTTAAAAAGTACTTTCGTATACACATTTTACATATTCGAGAAGACATTTACTCCATAGCACTTACAAAGAATCAAACGGTAAACTCGTTCCTCCTCCGTGACATTTCTCTACTAGGAACTCGTTAGCTGTGTTATCCGCTAATTTATTGTTTCACGGACTAATTCATTCCGCGTTCCTTGTTCGAGGGCATTATTCACGTCGCTCGGACGGAGTGGCACATGTATTTTTGTTCGAGACGTCATTACGTAAATCGTAGGCATCGGGTAGAAAAACCCCGCAAAATGCAGTTGTGCATTCAAAGCGCCGCGCGTTTCTGCTGCCAGCCTACGCGATCCGACGCTATGATTTATATTGCAACTTTGGTGAATTGCGCAAAGGCACTCTGAACGGGAAAGCTGGAAGATGCGAGGAAGATAGTTTTTTTCAGTTCGACGATGAAAAGACTCACCGTATATATATGCGCAGCTTTTGTATTTCCAATACTGATTCTCTTTCGCAATACAATTTGCACGAGGCCGATTAAATCTTTATGCGAGATTTCAGCTCGTGGTCGATTTCAGCTCCCATGCATTTTTCTTCACCTATAAACATTTTGAATAATTTGATTTTTCTGGCCATGTTACTGAAAATGCACTGTGAGAAAATTTTATATAAAATTGCATTTATAATGAATAATTTTTGAGATCCATCATTAAAGATGTGTATTTACACACGTAAGTAAAGTTACAACTTACAGATAGATTTATTCTTATCTAATTTAAATAATTTGTTAAAAAATAAATTTACAGTTGAAATTGAATTTATCGAAATATTTGCAAAAACGTACAATTTTCTATATTTCCATTGTAAATTATACATTTTTTTTTATACAATTTATGTAATTTTACATACTTTTTTTTTCAGTATATCGCCATTCTTACAATGTATATAAATCACTGCCGAAAGTTAAAGAAAGAAAATGTATTCTAAATAAAAAAAAAATATCTTTAAATATCTTTAAATAAGATGATGCAATGGAACCTGAAATTCTGTTTAGAATAAAAAATGCCTTTAAGAATATTCTATTGACATGCGACATTTTTATACACGCTTTTCTTATCGCGAAGGACGACGATAATATACCAAATGGATGGATGAGCGAGCCTCAGCCGAATAATAAATTTGTGACGATAATTATTGCTAATGCCGTCATTATTGTTCTACGTGGTGACCGGCGATAACGCGTTGTCTCTTCTATTCGCAACAATGCTCTTCCAGTTTACATGCATTGCATGGCATCGCGGTCACGTTTTCCCCATTAACGAGCATTTAAACGTTTACAATTCGATAAGAGACCTACCGTTATTGTCGATCTTGTTCTCTCCCACGTTCTTGAATTTTGCGTCGCGCTCCGACGCGCCTCGTGGCGATTACGAAAACGCGCTCCTGCGCCTCGGTTGACTCTCCTCTTTTATTGTTGCCTGGAATTTTGATAAATCTCCCCCGCGCGAGCAAGCGCGAAAGCGCGGCCGCTCAGGGAATTTATTTGCCGAGTTTCGCGAGAGACTTTTCACGTTCCTCGTACGACGGCGCAGTAGTAAGTCTTAAAATATAAATTAGCCGCGATAAGGCACCTTTGTCGGCTCTCCGCCCCTCTGCCGTAACCTTGCGTGCCGCGAATCGTTCCAGAGACGGATTTAAAAGATGCAGCAAAAAAAAAAGCTTTAATGACGACAAGCGATAATTCCTTTCGTATTTTAAAATAACACCCTTTTCACGATAACACCGTTGGATGTTACTTCTTTTCTTAATTTTTGACATTTATGCTCGGTAAAGTGAAAGACCAAATTATGATGTTACTGTAAACTAACTTTATGTATTTATCATTGCCTTTAGTTTTGGCAAAAATATCGTAAAATCTGATAATAAACACCTTCGCGCTATTATCATTCAAATATCTTAATGTATTTTCTAATTAAGTAAATTATTAAAGTTAAAATTTGAAATATTTGCTAAAGGAATTGCAAAATAATTTTAGTTTAAAATATTTATTAATCTTTTGTGACGTTACAGAGAACGAAGACACTTTTTTATTTGAATGTACTAAGAAAAAAAGAATTTATTAGCTGCGGCCCTGGAAAGTCGTATTCGTCTCTGGTCTATTCATGTTTCCTGCTCTGTGAAGTGTTATGCGTATGTATGTTTGTGTATATTTCTATGTTGAAAGATACTCGATCGTATAACACTTGCAGGAGTCACACGTAATCGCCAGACCGTGATCGTTACACGGGTAGGTAGTCATGTAAAAAAAATTAACGCTTGTCCTCTAATTACATTTTCGCGGTTAAAATTTGCACCTTAAATCATGCCGAGAAAAACGCACAACGGACGTCGGTTGCTTTACGGCGCGATTCTTATCCGACTTCTGAAATCGTAGGGACTCGCGTTATATCAGCACGACGACGATGTTTTTCAACGTGACGATTTGATAGTTATGTAAATACCATAACGTTTTCTGCCACGAAGCGTTAAAGCGCACGAGATTTCATATAAATTTTGTATTTTACCGTTAATTTACCTAGCGTAAAAAATCTGATATGTTAAAATAGTCACACTTTAATCAGAACGGAAAAAGAATAATAAATACATCTCTTAGAGTTTATAAAAGATCTTTTTTTGATATTTAATTTAATGAGAAGATATTTTTTTTAGGCAAAATGTTACAGAGTTAAAGGGTCATTAGATTAATATAATATATTTGACAGTCTTAATTTGAAATAATGTGGCGTGAACTATTTTAGTTATTTCCGACTGACTTCAAGATTTAGCTCACTCGAAATAATTTAGCATTGAATTTCCTAACTAAGATTCGTCGTTTTAACCACAATGTTTAATTATAAACCTTTTTTGAAGCTGAACTAAAATAGCTGTGAGAAAATAATCTTGTCCGATGGTACGCATTTATATATTATATAATGACGGATTAGAAATAAAAGTAAATCAATTACATATAAGAAAGTATTTTGTGCAAAATCATTGCACAAGAGAAAATCTTGCATCTAAATATATTGAAGATTAAGATATGACTAATAATACCGTTGCATAAAGGCTTTCTATTTGAAAGAGAAACGGATTTGCTACTTGGTGTCTTATCAGATTAAATAAATGTGCTTAATTATATATAATTCTCTAATAGGATTATTTTATCGTATGATCGGAAAAAAATTAGATTTAAGAAAAAAATTAGATATTTTTTAGTAAATATAATTTAGCAGTAGATATGTTGATTTCAAATATTTTTTTTGTCTTTAATAATTGTTATAATATTTAATGAATATACTTGTAACAGTTATATAGTTATCTAAACTTATCGTTTTTAGATTTCTATAAACGATGATATTTAAATTTATTTGTAAAATTCTTCAAAGAGAAGTGATTCTTTAATTATTTCAAAGGCAATACGAATACTGCTTGTTCTTAAGAATTATAAGACGCGCGTTTCTTCGTGCTATTTTCATATTGCAGAATTAGTATTAACATCACTGATTCAAATATTGCGTTTCGGCTTACGTACACGCGAATCTGTAACTCTTCTAATCCGTATAATAGCGCGCGGTAACGTCTCGTGTTCATATTTTGCTGCGGTCGGTCGAAGAGAGCGACGGTGGCAACTGAATTATTATCGCGATATGCATTGGGAATATTTAATCGAAGAGCATGAGTCGTGCGCCTGCACGCTCGCATGCGTGTACGCGTCGCGTGCATACACGCGCCTCGTAACGGGAATGATCGGCCAATCGCCGCCGCCGCTGGTCGGAACGATAAAGCCGGAATTGATCCACGTATTTGTAAACCTGCACCGTATCGAAGTACGAGCTGCCGGCTCGTAAACCGTGGCCCCCAGGCTTTTACGGGTCATTTCGGGATCTTGATTTATCGGTTTGCGCGCGCGATGATCGCGAAATCGCGCGAAACAATGGATAAGGCACATTTCGTGTATCGTCTCCCTTCCGGCCGCGATTATTCGCGAATATCATCGAGTGTCACGCTCCGAAAATACGCTTTTACGCAAAAACTTCACGTATATTCGCTAATAATTAAAAATTTAAAGCATAATTAAAAATTTAAATGTAAGATTATTTTCTGATGTGATATTGTATTCTTCTTGGACGTGTGCTGCATTGATAATTCTGATTGTGGTCTTTATTCGAAAAATGTGCTCTTTTTATATTAATTTTCTTGAACAATATTCTTTCTTAGAAAAAAAGTAGTTCTTTCTCATCATTTATTTTTATAATATTAAATTTGGATATAAATATTTATATAATCTCTATATATAATACATATGTTAACACTTATGTTAAGATTTAATCAGAAAAATTTAATTCTCTTACGTTATACATACATCTACGTATACATTGTTGAAAGAAAATGTCATTGTTTAGAAGTACCTTGTATAATGTAAATGTGGAAAAAAGTTTGTTTAACGATGGGCGACTTAAAGAATCATTATCCTGTACACTCCTCAAGATTTACGATTGGTCTGACAGCATTTTCTCTCGCATGATGTGTACATAATTGCATCAACGTTGCTATGAAAGCTTT